TACATATGCGCTACATAGATTTCATTTGGTTTTTGTGAGGGCTGTGATACTGCATGGGTGCCCAAACCGGAGCACGTGGTTTTTTCAGGGAGCATACCCGGAGCCTTTGATCTAAAGGTCTAATCCACAAGGTATTGGAGCAACGTCAGTAAACGTGTAGTGAAGAATACAGGTGGGGAACAACCAAATTGTGTCTAACACAAAATTACAGAGTTACTTGACAAAATATAAAAACCATATAGTAAATCGTTAGTTTGCAAAATATCAATCCATCACATCAACCCGGACTGTTCCTATTGCAAACATCAATCCATTGTCTGACGTTTCATTGTTCATGCGTTTTCATACAAATTGCATCGTGTTCTCGCTCTTTCTTTCTTGATCTTCCTCCATATTCTGCTGCCAGACATTATGTTTCTGACTCGCGTCATATACTACTTATATCAATATACGTAGCACAAACCACAGATGCAGTCCCATGGTAGCCAGTCACCAATGATTCCTTCATACGCCATTTGTTTCCTTAGGATCCTGGAGCCTATGTGCACCATTGGTTTGGAATCAGGGTTTTCCAATTCCCCTAGGACACTGCTGAGGAGTCCCATACTATGAAGAAACGTTCATCCAGTGCTTCCAGGTTTTCCATGATGATCTAGCTTCAGTTAACTTATGAATTCAACTATTAAATTAATATGTTCGTAAAAAGTATGTAAGAGTCATTAAACGGATCATTTTTTAAAACTCAAACTGTGATTATAAGTATAAAAAAAAAAGAATTTAAGCGCAATTTTCGATTATTTTAATTTAATAGATGGTCAGATTAAAACTAGTTTTTTTGGAAGGTATAGTTGATCAATGAACCGACTGAATGTATCTTTGATTTATTTTCACATTGTTTTTATGAGTTAGACGCAGGGTATTAGGGAATGATGGTAAATCAGTTGATGGGGTTATGAATCTTCATCGACTGAGATGGTTGGGCCACGTGTTACGTATGCCTGAACACCGATTACCACGACGTGCAATGCTATCCGGTATTGGAGATGGTTGGAAGAAAGTTAGGGGCGGCCAAACCAAAACGTGGCATCAGTGCCTGAAGTCACTAACTTCTAGTCTGAGCCATGTTGGTAGATGCAGACTACTTGGTTGGGGTCCGCGTGACTTTCGTAACCAATGGTTGGAGACTCTTGGTGACATGGCTCAGAATCGTTCACAATGGCGTCGGTGTATACACTCCCTGTCTTCCCTTAAACTAAGAGATTAAAATCACTTCATATCTTTCTTTCTACGAACCAATTCTTTCTTCTTGTACTATATCTCTATAGGCAATCTTTCTCTTATATATTACCACGTTTGACCTAACCACTACTGTGAATCCGGTGTCCATCTTGTTGTGCTGATGCGGTATGGCAACTTGGACCGATGCATATATGTGCCTGGTCCTACGTTGTAGCTGACTGACTGAGTTAGTTATGTACTATTCCTCTGAATTGAAGTATCCTTAATTTGTATCAAGACATTTCAATATTACAGTATTTATCCGATGTGAAGAGGGAAACAAGAAGCTCTGACAAACTACGAAAGCTATTTTTTAGGACGTTATTTCATTTTATGTAAAGCTTGTAAAACACTAACATTTATTTGTGTCCCTAATTTTATCTACAGAAGATAAGCTTTCATTCGATGTGTGATTCATTGACATACCCTTTTCTGTTCCGAAGCTATTGTAACTTAAGCATAATATTTTGCACCCTATTTTCTACTCTAATTCCCAGCTTTGGACAACATAATTGTACTTTTCCTAATTATTGTACGTTGTGGCCGGACTAGTCATCTGTTTATTCATGTACTCTTTTACACTAATCTGAAATCGGGAATAGATCAAGTGGTGTTCCATTTGTCTTGTCTTCTCTCACTCGCGTGCTTGTCAACCAATCAGGTGATAGAATAGTTTTCTTCTCTCTACCCCACTTCGAACTCATGTGTATTAGCCTCAAGTTTAAGCCGGTCAGCCTATCGCGCCAAGCTCTTAATCTGGATGAAATAAGTATCCTCAGCACCAAAAGTGAGTAGACAGACTCAAGGACATAACATTGTCAGCAATTGATTTTTGATGTCAGTAACATGATTAAATTGAACATTCACTTTGATGGTCTAATAATACAATGTAACTTGTTTCGTTCTAACAGATATATTTCCTAAATGATGTACTACTTCACACTGTACTACACTTAAAAGTGTATTACGAAAATATCTCTCATCGATGGAGATTCTTATGGGCCCTGAGTTAGAAACGATCATATGTTACTTAAAAGATTACTTTATTACGCCTGTTACCCCTCGTCGAGAAGCACTCTCCATTCAACCCTGTCCTGGGCAATCTTTTTCAAGTTTGCTTCCGATTCCCGACTCGGTGTGCTCTTTGGCCTTCCTCTTTTCCGTTCCTCTTCAGGATTCCAAGTTAGCGCACCCAAGAGATAGTCTTCCGAAACAAAGAACTGAAGCACTCAACATCAAAGATTAGAAACTGTTCGTCAGTGATTATGTTTCTGGTTATGACGCTTAGATTTAACATCACACAACAGATAAACAAGGTCTACCTTCGTGTGTGAGTTGGTAATGAGCTAATTAAATAGACTTAATGCGCTGATCAACTACAGAATCGATACTTTAAATGTAAAGGCTGACGAACCTACGCTACTGCCCAAACTGATATATGTGGAGTAGGGTTCAAACCTAGGCCCTAGTATCTGAAAATCATTTCGAACATATTCGTAAATATTTGATTACGTAATAGTACTAATTTATTATCATCTAACAAAATATTTGGTGAATAATTACCTGATACAAAGTAATCTACTCATATGATCAGAAAATACCTTGTAAACTTGAGTTGTACATTAGATTCATTTTAGAAACTAAGATCATATCAACATACATAACGTTTCAGATCTTTACGGATAAAAGAGCGAAACATTGCTTATGGCTAGAATATGCAAGTTTATTGTCGAAACAATAATCTTCTGAATGGTGGATCCCCAGTTCAGCACAAATCCCAATAAATGAATGTGTACTTGGTAAATAACTTACATAAACTAATAAAAGTGCGTATAACAGTGAAATTTAACCATAACGATCGATAAAATGCCCTTGAGAAAACTTTCACAAATCAGGAAACAAGCTGATTTGTGCGACTTACGATGTTAAGTAGAGTAAATTACAAATTATATAGCTTTTCGTCTACTGATGCATATATTAAGATCACTTATCGGTTCTTTTGTCTTGAGGCCAAAAAAGAACATTCGAATAACTTCTAAACATCATCAATTACAAAGTTTTATATGTTTGTAAGTAGTATCCTAAACGACCTTATATGACTTCTAGGTTTCTTGGTGTCCATTGTCTTAGTGAATATATCATCTCAGAAGTATTCACTTTTACTCAAGCTGTTGTACTGTATACTATTCTTACACATCTATAAGAGCGGTTTCGGGATTCATTTCACACTGTTGAGTTGGCTTCTGAGAACTACAACGGAGCCTCCAGATGCCCTAAAGGAGCCAAGGAGTTTCCAGCCAATCAGGATATGATGGAGATTTCTCCTAAGAAAATCACTTGCTTCAGTTTGGGCACCTGGGAAGTATCATAACTCATACAAATCAAGTGAAATGTACGGTGCGCATATGTATTCGATGCCCCTTTGTACTAGTATTTATATCAGAAGGGGTTTTGTGGAGATTTTAAAAATTTCACTGATTGAAATCATGAGTCCATTGAAGCTAGACCATCATGGAAAACCTGGGAGCACTGGACGGCCACTTCGTCCTGTTGTGGGACTCCTCAGCAGTGCATATCCACGGTTCTAGTGAGAAGCCGTTACCAGTGTAGTCTAACCAGGTTTGTTGTGAGATATCAACTCACTGAAGACAATGGTTTATGGTGGTACAACTTTGTGGATTAGTTGAAGTTAGACATTAACACCATTGGATGCGGGCTGGCTCAGTTGTGTAGTGCTTCCAGGTTTTCCATGGTGGTCTAGCTTCAATTGACTCATGATTTTAACCAGTAATATTTATATATTCAAATAAATAAATAAAGCATATATATAGAATACAAGAAATATATTTCAATGTTTATTGGCACAGATACGTATCTTATTATTAGTTCCATTTGATTTCAAATAATAATAATAATAAGTATGAATCTCCTATGATGTTGTTATATAAATTTATTTCTATATGTAATTGGATAAACCTAAATATGAGTTTTTGTTTCTTGTAAATAAATTATGTAATTATGTGAAAATCTACTAATCTAGACTTGAGAAGAAGAAGAAGAAGAAGAGATCAGACAATTGAAACTGATCATGTTTGTGTTTATCTATTAAGTTTGTTGTTGTTGTTGTTGTTTTGTCTTTTCTTTTTTCTTTAAAAAAGAGAAAAGAAAAGAGGAAGGGAAGTGTTGTCAAATGTTACTTTCTTTATAAAAGAAAAAGAAAAGAGAAGAAAAGGAAAGAAGAAGAGAATGATTAAGTTGGTACTATAATGGCTAATTCCCCTGAATTTATGATAGAACTACGATTATTACTATTATTATTATGAATATTATTTAAATAAATTGACCAATCAATATCACGAAGTAATAGAAAATCTTTTAATGGTACTGGTATAGGTAATAAGGGTAATGCTTCAATAAGACGAAAACCTAAACGTTGTCTTATCACTTTACGACACCATTTTTGTAAGGATTTAACTTCAAGTAAACCATTATAACGTCGTGTTAAAAGATTTTGATTAATGAAATGAGAATTTTTAACTGTTGAATTGATTGAATTCGTTTCGGGAATATTATTGTTGTTCGACGATGATGATGATGATGATGAAGATGAAGTTGCACATACTGATGGTATACTATTTGAATTAATTGGTAAATGTGTACAAAAACAACCAACTTCAGCTAATATTCTAGCCATATCAAGATGTCCACGTTCTAATGCCATTTTAAATGGTGATTTTTCAAATGAATTCATAGATGTTCGATTATTTGATTCTGATTGAATCATTGATGTTGTAATAGTATTTTGTGTATTTTTCAATAGAGTTTGATGATTTAAAGATGAAAGTAAATGTATATTCGGTGGAAGACGTTTAGCTGGTCTATCCAAATCATAATTATATGCAAGAAATAAACGTAATAATTCTAATCGATTATATGCAACAACATCGTGTACAAATGATTCTCCCAAATTGTTATAATTATATTCGATATACCAATTACCTGTGGTAATGTATATATAAAATGAAGTTAAGAAAATATAAAAATTGATGTACGTTGGTCTTTATGTGCTAAACATACTCATTCTATTTGAAATGATGTTATATCACATAAAACACGTGGACATTGGTACAAGTAGGCATCAAGTAGAAATGCAGTACATAAATCACTCGGTTTGTGCGACGGCCGGGATACTGCCCTGATGCCTAAACCGAAGTAGATGGTTTTCTTAGAGGACCACGCCATAAGCCTTCGACTTAGAGGTCTAATCCACGGGTCAGTGGAGCGACGTCAAGAGACGCAGTCGCATGGTAGTCGGTGATTGACAATAGGTTCATACGACTTCTCATCCCTTGGATCCCG